GAGACAAAATCTCTTCTCCCTAAGTCGAACACAAAAGACCTGTGCTGAGCGTGCGCGAAGCAGCCAAAGCGTGCCAGGATGGAGCGGGAGAACATTGCATTACCATCCTAAATAAACGGGTTTTGAGTAACAAGCAGTTTTTGTTGCCGCTGTCCTGATTCTACAGTGAAAAAATGAAGAAAACAGCCAGAATTGGCTTCTATTAAAGCCACGCACAAAAGAAAGCGTGAAGAGGTGTTCCAATAACCTTCACCTCTTCCCTTCTCTGTGTGTAGCTCTTGCCACCCAGACGAGGAAGGATCCCCCTTTACCCATTCATGGCAAACAACAAAAGCTGGAGAACCTCACTGCAAGGAAGCCCCCAGGCGTGCAGCCCTTAACCTTGAAATAAAACACTTTGCTGCTGTGCTAGACATGACTAATATGGCCACACTGAATTTGGCCTTTTAGCTCTGCCCACACACACGGGCAGAGTGACAGTTGTCTGGGCAAGATGAATGAACGTTGTCCTTGCCCAGGTTCTAATCACCCCAGGCATTTCGGTGATTCTCACCTGAAGATCCCGATTTTTCAGGATGCCCACCCAGAACGCCTCCTGGCAGTGGTTGAATGCCAGCATTGCCTTCACTCGGTACACAAATTGTTCCAGAGACTTCTTCAACAAAGGCACATGGTTGGTCAGTCCAATGTCTTGGCGGATCTAAATATCAAACAGTAAAACATGACTAGGATTGATTCCTGCCTAAAAACTCTGGCTACTCAAAAAGCCATTGGCTATACAGGTGGGAAGGACGGGACATGATCCCCACAAAGCTTGCCCGGATTATGTCGTTTCTTGGCCAAATGCTTTTATACCTTTTGTTAAAAAATAAAACCCAGATATGCATTTTGTCTAAAGCAGCAAAATGATCCTTTGCAACAATCCAAACAGCCATATCCATTCTGGATAAAAATAGGAGCCTCAGCTTTTCCCACAAACCTTGGAGAGAGGCTAGTAACTCCTCTATGAAGTCAGATGAATTCTGCTGACTCTTGGGGAATTATTTTAGGAATTTGCTTTTCATTTGCTCCATCAAGTCAGCAACAGACTGGTGTCACTTGCTCTCTTCTCCAAGAACAATGCACAGCTCTTCACACACAGATCTCACTCTGCTGCCACCTTGCTCACAGCAGCCACAGCTTGCTCCATATGAGTGTCTGGAAGCTGCATTGCTGCTGCTGTGTGCAATTGATTATGTTTGGGTAAGTCTGACCCACCTACAAGTTATCTTTGGTGCAACAGCAGAGTTATCCATGAAGGTCAGCAATGGACAATCACACCGTTCCAGTTCAAAGCAAAAAGCAATGCTGCAAGTGTCCAAACTGTGAAACTATCTGCCTAGGAAGGGCGATAGCTACCTGCTGACAGCCAGACGCTGCACGCTAATGCTGCAGGGAGTTTTGTGTCAGGAAATTGCTGAATTCCCAAGCACAGAGAAGAAAAAAATGAGAAAAGTGTTGAATAAGCCACTGCAATGACAGTGCAGCAGTCACAGCTGCCAATTCTTCTCTATGCTGATAGCTGTAATGGCATGTTCCGATCTCCAGCTAGACTTTTATGCTCCTGATGCCAGCTCTGAACTAAATTGGTGGCAAATCCAACTTGGGAGCCATGCTAATAGCTGGCTTTCTCCCTTCAACTACTTTGGCAAAGCTCCTTTCTCAGACATGTGTTCTTGAACCTCTTAGGACTCTAACAGGAAGAAGGCAGCGCCCTTGAAGTTCTTTCTAACTGCCTTTTCCCATGTGATTCTCCCTAGTGACAAGCGCTGGCTCTCCACACTGTAAGCAGGGTGCTAACCCTCTCCTTCCTTCCTGCCCCTAGTCTCCTACAGAGAGACTGGCAGACTGCTTGCACGTTACCAGCTTCCTGCCCTCCCTTTGCCCTCTTCACTAGTATCGAAGAGACGATGCCAAAAAGGCACCTCAAGAGGAATTTGAGGAAGGTTTTTCCCTTGTCCGCCTCCTGTCGCTGATTCTTCTGACTCACAAGGCTGTTGATTTTTGCCAAAGCTTCGTTCCCATGTCATCAATCTCGCAACTGTACTTTATGCAAGGTCTCTAAGGTCTCAGCTCGTGTCCTCAGAAACACTCTTATAAATGCCAACAACTGAAGATGTCAAGAACCTCTGTCCTAAAAAAAAGAGTACACTGACATTGCAGTCAGCCACTTCCAGATCAAATACTTCAAATTTTGGGCCATTAATCAAGGCTATTTCTCCTCCTCTCAGAGTTTTTGCTTGTACAGACATTGCTGGAAGCCTGCAACTACAACCTGCCTATGCCCTGGAAAAGCAGTGTAAGGGAAATAAATCATTTTTAGGACAGGAGTTTGTGCTGCAATTAGAACTTATCTTACCTTGGAATGGCCACACATGTGATGAAGTTGTCTGGTACTCAGCTGCAAGGTTTTCAGCAAACTCTGCACATCATCCTGCAATAAATAAGTAGACCAGCAAATCATTCTCAAAAGATTTTTCCATAAGGGAAATAAGAATAATGAAATAGTATTAGTCCTAGCAATCTTTTCAGAGGGTTATGGATGGAAATACGACACACATTCAGGCAAACGAGATGAAGCCACAGGAGACTTGCACTGTGCATATAAGTAAAGTAACTGGCAATAAAAGTATGACCATGTCATAAGGCTTTTGAACTGAAACTGATTTTGAATCAGTTTGGAATGAACATTTATCAGTGAAAGTGGGGCAATCAAAATCAAGACAACCTTGTCACATCTTGCCTTGAGTACCATCTTCTGAAATAAGGGAACCAGAGGAAAAGTATAAAACATACTGCTAGGTTGGGGTATTTGAAACACATCCAAGACAAACTCTGGATATCAATCTTGTCTACTGAGCAAATTACGTGGCACTTTCTATCGTCCAGTGGCAATGACTAGATATCTGTTTGATAACCTCATTCCCTCAAACATCCACGAGAACAGATACTACATTTGCAATAGAAAGGAGTTATCTGTTAGAGAGACAAGTTGTGAAGACTAAGCCAAAGAACGAGTCTCACTGGCAAAGCTGGGGGAACAAAGCAGAGGGAATAAACGAACTGTTCCTGCTTGTCATGTAGTGCAGCAAGGTTGGTCTGTCCCTCTGCACTCATGCATGTTGTCCTGCTTAGAGCTCCAAGAATGACTGCAAAGACACCAATGACACTGTCCCTCTGGACCACAAGCCCTCACCAACCTGTCTGCTCACGTGAGTTTCCTACTCTGTGAGCACTACCTTTGTGGTAACGGCTTTGGAAGGAGGTGGATGTTGAAAGGGCTTCCTTTGCTAACAGTGAAGCCATCCAGCCAGAGAGTGATGGCAGGTTGGGTAGCAGTGATCTGTTTGCTGAGAGCACTGGATGGGCAAGCAAGTAAAGAGGGCAGAGCACAGCTGGAGACATTAGACGCGTGTGTCATTAAGTGTCATGCCAACACGTGATCAGAGACAGAAATCTCCTTCTATCAAGCATCGGTCATGTTTCCCAACTGGTTCCAGACAGTTCTGTCTCCAAAAGGCTTACCCTGTGCTTTTTAAAGCTGTAGTCCAGGAGAGGCATGGCGAGCTTCAGAAATGCTTCTACAAAGAGACGGCCGTACTATAAAAGAATAATAAATGTATCAGAAGGCAAATTAAATTCCTTTTCAAAGAACCATCACAAAGTCAGCCATGATAATGATACATTCTTTCAAGCTACTCCAGAAACTGTTCTTGCTTAGTAAAAGACTCTATTTATGGGAAGGCTGTACTGGAATATACAGCATCACTGCGAATCGAGGCTGGAAGGACAAGGTCTCATCATTGCATCTATCTCTGGTTTCATTCACTATCAAATTGGGAACATGACTGAACCAAACACAAAGTGTCAGAATCACTATGCATATATATGAGTCCTAGCCAGAAAAGGGAGAGTTGCAGAGGGACACACGATCCTTCTGGGCTCCAAGAGAGACCTGTCTGCTGTGTTGTCTCCTCTCAGTTGGAGTACAACGGGAAAGGGTCCAAAGTCAGTAGTCGTGCCCATTGCAGTAAGTTCGCTCTGGTCCAGCCATATGAGGAGGACTAGCAGAAGACAGTTAAAGGTACAAGAAACAGTATCTGCTTCTTCCAGAGAATTCAGTAACCACTCTACTCCACCCGAGGCAATGATTCAAGGGAGCTGTTACTTAAACTGCTCTTTTCAGTTATTTGGAATTCTTGCTTACCTTCAGGCAGATGGTGAGTACAGACCTGCTGTCAAATACCTACTTGGGCGAGAGGAAAAAAGAGAGCCAGATCAGTCCACAAGTCTAAACGAAGCAATGTAAGCACAGCAGCCAATTAAAAATAGCCCTTCATTACATACCCTTCATTAAAGTGTGAAACCTGCCCTAAGGCAACATCCATGCTCAAGTTTTAACAGGGAACATGAAATTTAGTGGTTGTCAGGTGGAAGTAGTTGGCAGGATGGCTATTTGGTGACCTAAGGTGCACCTTTTGCAGATGGCACAAAATTATCTCGACGAATCTGATGTTCTTAATAGTTCGGGGCCCGACAGACTCAAGTCCAGCTGATGGAAAGTAACCACAAAACCGATGAAGCAAAACTGAGATGTGCAAAATAATGTATTTTGGAGGAAATAATGAAGCTATTACATTAATGGTGCCAGCTGGCAAAAGACACCAGGTGTCACTGCACAGGTCACACACAGCTGTGGTCCAACAGCAAACAAAGAAACAGAACAGATGGTCTCAGCTCTCTCAAAGGCTTTCTTCTGGTACACATTTGTGTATATATTTTTGCCAGTGATCCCAATTCTATAACTAATTAGTGAATGTTTTAACTGGCATTGCACACAGATGTGAGTGAGAGCTGTGAAGGCACCCTGGTGCTGATATGGATTGCGAAACAGAACTAGCTGGTCCAGCTGTGCCCTTTATGCTCTCAAAAGGCATCTGGAGCACAGGTAGGGCTCCAGTGAATGCTGCTATATAGAAGAATCCAGCTCAATTCACCAGAGCTCATAAACCTTGAAAAATCTGGACTTGCCAATCATCACTTCAGATATGATGGAAGGGAACATTTCATTCAGTGGGGCTGGCCTCTGGAGTTCATCACCGCAGGATGACATGAATTTCAGCAAGATTCAAAGGAAGATCGCATGTTACCATAAGAGAAAGTGAAGCTATCTGATAAAATGCAGGTTACAGACAGGAATCCAAGCCTCCTGTTCAGAGTATTAGCCTGCCTTCAGCTGAGCACATCAGGAGAATGTTTCCTTCTGTCAGACGTTACTCCAGATCTACCCGAAGAGTTTCTCCCATCTGCCTTTTCCACATCTGGCAGTGGACTCTGTCAGACACAAAACACTGTACTAGGGAAACGGGGTGTTCGTTCAGTCCTTTTTCAGCTCTTCCTTACATCATTCTGTCTTTGTGCAGATTTATTATTTGTGTGAGAATTATGTTAGTAAGATGTGCAGGCTGTAAGAATTAAGCAGAACTGAAGTGAAAGCAAAATGGAAACCCTTACACACAGATTATAACTGGCTTTGTTTACCACCTCCAGGTTGTTCCACTAGTCAGCCATACTTCATGTTTTTCCCTTGTGCTCATGAATGTGCGTACACTGGGCTTTGCTGGGAATCTGAAAGTAAAGCCAGACAAACAACCAGAACCTCACCTTGACCAAGTTAACGAGGATATGGAAATTCCGCACGGCAATGTTCCACCGCAGCAGCTTCTCCAGTTGCACCTAACAGGATGGAAGGGGACAATAACCCAAGATGGTGTACTTCCTCTCACCTCACTGGACACTCTCTGAGCATTTTCTGTATCCAAAGCATTGTGGTTGTTGAAGACAGAGGAACAAAGCTTCACCACAGGCAGATTTATCAGAGCAAAACCATTTAATGGCAATTCCAGCCTGATCAGTGCCCACGTGGCTTAAAACGCTAAGAGTTTACACACTTCCTTGCTCTCAGAGCAGCTTTTGCTTGCAAAATAACTTTGTGATCCCGCACACGTGTGCGGACAGCTTAGTATTTTGCTGATTACTACCCGTTTTCTGCTTCTGCTGGATTTACTCAATTTTGACGTGCCACAAACCAGAAAAAAAAGGATGCTACTTATATGTTATTCTGTATATCAGTTTTGGCTGATGAATGAAGCTGTCTGACTAAATTTCCTAGACAAAGCTCAGAAGTAGATTCCTTTCCAATTGACATGTTTTCATTGTACTGTACAGTTTAACTTATGTCTTATTCCCCTCATAGAGTCCAGTGCATTTTTTTCCTACCTCACTTGAGTCTGATGGTTTCCCAGCTGGGATGCTTTTCACTGAACTCTCTAGCTGAGCCATCATTACTCTGAAGAAAACCGGGAACGTTTGCCTGTGGAGGAAGTGAAAGCAAAACTAAAAGCCAGCCCTGAGCATCTAGATAGGCTTCTTGTCCCCAGAACAATGTGGAAAATTTGAAGGTTACCCAGCTGGGCATCCTTCTCAATAGGAAATCACAGGAGATCAACCCTAGGACTCACAAGCACATCTAGCCCAGCCTCATCACCCAGACAGATGGAGAATCCTGGGAAGTCACTACCACTTCCCCAGTATGAACCACACATAGACAGCACCCACTTCTTTGCAGCTCTGGGGGATGCACAGCAAAAGGTTTGTGGCTGTCAGCACAAGATGATTTTGGTAGTTCCAAAGTGCAGGAACTTTGGCCATCCCTCCATAAATCGTGCTTCCAAATTCCCGTGGTAGGAGCAGAAACACTGTGAGTGTCCTTTTGCACACTGCGTACCAGCCCAGAATTGCCTACGGCCACCCCAGGCCTCTGAGGCCGACTTTCAGAGTGCTTTGTACCACCAGAGCGGCACAGAAAGAGGCAACACAGCTGACGACAGACAGCAGTTCATTCTCCAACTAAAATGGCGCACAAATAATAAACTCAACACTGTTAATGCACGAGGCCATTCCACCTTGACACAAAGCTAACTGTATACTGACCTGTCAGGTACTGCCAAAGAATATTTACACATGCCCAGAGTAGTCCACAGAAGTACTAACATGAAACCATAACAGACCACAAAATAAGAAAATTAAATATTAAAAAGCAAAGTTGCCATGTGCATCTCATGAAACTCAAAGTCTCTATCGAGATAATTACCTGCTTAGTGTCGGATAAGTAGAAGAATATCCGTCTTTGGCAGAGTCGATCAGTTCAGGAACACCGACACTGGAGATTTCTTCTATAGCTTTCAAGATGTTATCTGTGTGCTCCAGGTAGACACTAAATCCAAAACCAACTTAGTTAATCAGTAAAAATTGTGTAGAATAACACATAAAATTCTTGAACACTGCTCTACCTGCAACACGTGGCCTAAAATTGTTAAGCTCATTCTTATGCCAAAGGCAATGATATGTAGGAAATCTGAAGCAATAATTAGAACTGTCACAATAATGTCATTAAAAGCTACTGTGATCTGAAACAAACTTGGATTTAGTATTTCTTCATCCTTGTACTTAGGAAAGACAGGCCAGGAAGAGGAGGACATGGAGTTGCCCTTTATGTGAGAAAATGGCTGGAATGCATGGAGCTCTGCCTGAGGATGGGTGATGAGCCAAGTGAGAGCTTATGGGTAAGGATGAAAGAGCCAACCAATATGGGTGACATTGTAGGCGGGGGTGTGCAATAGGCCACCTGGATCAGGAACAAGTAAATGAAGCCTTCTACAGACAGCTAGAAGTAGCCCCATGTTTGCAAGCCCTGGTCCTCATGGGGGACTAACCACCATGATACCTGCTGGAAGGACAATATAGCAGGGCGTAAGCAATCCAGGAGGTTCCTGGAGAGCATCAATGACAATTTCCTGACACAAGTGACAGATGAGCTGATAAGGAGAGGTGCTCTGCTGGACCTCACACTTGAAAAGAAGGAAGGGCTCTGAGGATGGAAAGGTTGAAGGCAGCCTGGACTACAGTGACTATGAGATGGTGGAGTTCAAGATCCTGAGAGCAGGGAGTAGAACAAACAGCAAGATCATAACCCTGGACTTAAGGAGGGCAGACTTTGGCCTCTTCGTGGATCTTATTGCCACAGGGCAGGGGCCTAGAGGGAAGAAGAGTCGAAGAAAGCTGGTTGACATTCAAGGATCACCTCCTCCAAACTCAAGAACAGCCCATCCCAAAGAGCAGACAGTCAAACAAAAATGCCAGGAGGCCCGCAGGGATGAACAAGGAGCTCCTGGCAAAACTCTAAGACAAAAAGGGAATGTCCAGAAGGTGGCAGCAGAGACAGGTATCCTGGGAGGAATATAAAGACGCTACCCAGGCATGCAGAGATGTGGGCAGTAAAGCCAAAGCCCTCCTGGAGTTGAATCTGTTGAATGTGGTAAGGGGTGTCAAAGGCAATAAGAAGAGCTTCTTTGCGTACATAACGAGTAAACAGAAGACTAGTGAAAATGTGGGTCCACTGCTGAATGGGGCAGAGGCCTGGTGACACAGGACATGGAAAAGGCTGAGGTACATGTTAAGGGAATGAATGCCTTAACCACCTTAGTCTTTGCTAGCAAAACTGGCCTCCAGAAATCCCATGTCTCAGAGCAGGGGTAAGTCTGGAGCAAGGAAGACTTTGTGGAAGAGGATCAGGTTAGGAAATAGCTAAGCAAACTGGACACATAAATCCACAGACCCTGAGCACTGTGGGAGGTGGCTGATGTCTTTGTGAGGCTACTTTCAATTATCTTTGAATGATCGTGGTGATTGGGAGAGGTGCCCGAGGGCTGGAGGAAAGCAAATGTCACTCCTATCTTCAAAAAGGGCAGGAGGAAGGACCCAGGGAACTACAGGCCAGTCAGACACACCTTAATCCCTAGGAAGGTGGTGGAACAACTATCCTGGAAACCATTTCCAGGCACATGAAGGACGAGAAGGTGACTGGGAGTTTTCATCATGGATTCACCAAAGGGAAGTCATGTCTGATCAGCCTGGTAACCTTCAATGAAAGGACTGGCTTGTAGACAAAGGGAGAGTAATGGATATGGTCTACCTTGACTTGCAAGGCTTTCAACACTGTCTCCTGTAAGATTCTCAGAGTAGCTGTTGCAGTATGGGCTGGATGAGCAGACAGTGAGGTGGATGGAAAACTGGCTGAACAGCCAAGCTTAGAGCGTTGTGCCCAGCATGGTCCCCAGCAGCCTGCTCTAGGTCACCCTGCTAGGGCAGGGGAGTTGGAACAAGGTGACTTCCAGACAACCATTCTGTGATTCTGTGTATTTCACCTAATACTCAGTCCCACTCTCCTTAACTTCAGTGAGAGCTGATTTGCTTTCAGTTTAGTGAAAACTAAACCAGACGCTTTGGTGTGTGTACGTACGCATGCACACAGGTACAGATGTGATGATGTACACCAACAAGCTACAGTCGAACAAACACGAGCTCTAAACACGCTTCTGTGGCCAACAGCTAACAGGATTCTTCCTGTCACTCACTGTCTTTCAATGCTGCAGAAACTGCTTTAGGCCAAACTGTTTAAGTAGGAGGGTTGTGGCTAAGAGGGGTCATTCCTCTGCAGCAACAGTAATTATTAGAAAAAGAGTGTCTCCGCACGCTTGAGCCAACGGCTTGAGCCTTACCAGAGCAGAGTATGCAGCGCACTGTTGAACTGGCTGCCCTTCTCTCGGTCTCCACCGGGCTTCACCCACGACTGGCAGAGGAACTGCTTTGCTAGTGAAGCTGTAAAAGATAAGGGATAACTTACTGAAGGAAGAATCCAAGGCAATTTCCTTCTTCCATAAAAAGGCAGTGTGTCCAAATGGCTTTTTGAAAGATCACAATATTGCTACCCCTCGATATGACTGAACTTTGGTAAGCCAGAATGCATTTCCCCTAAAGAGCAGTAAGGCCACAAGGACATACGTCATAACAACAAAATATATGCACATGCAGTGTGTTCCTGGTCTGGAATAGCTGTTCACATCTGAACCGCAGTCCATCTCTGGCCATTTCTCCCTGACAAACTTATGTTAAACTTTATTTTTTTGGTAGCTCCGACAGTGTACCAACTGTTTGGTTTTAGTTAGGCAACATGCAGCCCTTAGAGCATCCATTTCTTCAACTGGAATTCCAAAGACAAGTCACTTGACTTTTTGGTCACAGCACAATAATAATAAATGTGAACAGGCACATTTAAAGTTTACAAATTTCTTAAATCAAACCAACCAGCTAACAAACCTGCTTGTCTCCTGCAGAAATGTTTAAAACTAGGAAATTATTCATTAAGAGTGGTTATTCCTTGCCCCACTCAGGGGGCAGTTCTCCCAGTGTGAGACTGTTTGAAATAGTAAAATAACCTCAATTTACAATTCTTAGTGGCTATGGGGATCTGAGAAGGACAAATTCTAGAGGTGTCTTAGTATGACAAGGTATGGCTGAGAGAGGTGACTGTCTGGAGTCTTCAGGTGACTGCCTGAAGTGTCACACACTTCAGTGTGTGACAAAGTGGAGACCAACTAGTTTTCTTGTATATTCCCTGCAAGCATGTCTATGCCTTATCTGCTTGCCTGCTGTTCCTCTTACAGAGCAGGTCCTAATCCATGAGAAGAGCTCTCTTAATTGAAAACGTTCATTGCATGGGGTTAAGAACTTACAGGTTTTCCTCTCTGCCCTGAAGTAACAGCTGTATTTGCAGTTCATTTCCATAAGTTTTGGAAGTGAGCTGTCACAGACATCTGTACTTACACAAGGAAGCCACATCAGATTATGATCACCTCCATAACCAGTGATTAAACTGGTACCAGAATTGAACCACAGGCTTGTTCTTAGAACTCTTAAAAGCTGTGAGGCTCTGATTTTTAAAAACACCAGCTAAAAGAGCTGGAGTTTGCCTTATGTGACTGAGGCACAGCAAAACAAATACCAAAGAGGTTCCAGTATATTTACTGCTGTTCCTTTTATTAACAGCTAGGAATGTTTACCCAGTGAGATTACTAGAATACCACAGGGAAGTCTCTCCTTCAAAAGACGCACTCCAGAGACAGAACCCAAGATTTACAGGCAAAGGACAGCATGAAAACTAATCTGAGATTAGAGCTTCACACATTACCCATTTTTTCTTTCTTCCAGCCAGCCATTGGTTTCTCAGCGACAGCAATCAGGAGCTGAGTGAGGATGAATGCACAGTGGAAGGTGGGAACGCTCTGCTGGAAATTCAGTAGGTAGTGAAAACTCTCACTGGGGATGACAGGAAAGGGAAAAGGTAAAAACAATGTGGATAGGGTAATCTCCAAGAAACACATAAATAAAAAGAAGTATTAGACCATCTCAGATCCAAGTTCTCCCGAGCCCAGCACTTTGTCTCTGGTGATGCCCTGCTGAAGAAGGGGTAGTCAACCACTAGCAGGTAAGTCTAAAAATGTCTTTATATACTGCTTTTGCCTAGTGTTCTTGTAGGCATTTTAACTATGCAGAACATACTCATTCCTTCTGTGAATGCTACTAATCTCCTGGTCTCAAACAGCATACAAGCGAACAAGATCCATAGATCAATGCATATTTTATAATCCAGTAGTTCATTTTCATTAGGTTGACTGCACTGCCATTCAATTAAATACAAAGCTCTCTTAGAAGCTGGTGTGGTCTCTATGAGAGCTCCCCAACACACGTTTACCCATAATTACCACACAAAACAGGGAAAACTGCTTGAAATTCATCCCTTTCAGAGCTTGGGAAATATTGACTCTACCTTATCAGCTCCTCAAGAAGAAGAAACTCTGTCTCTCCTGGCTTTAGCCTGTCTGCAAGCACCTGGAGAGCTGACCTTAGCAAGTCAGTGTTTTCATGCTGAGAAAAACCGTTCCTGAGGGGGAGGAAAAAAAAATCCAGTTCATCATCAGGCTAGAAGGAAGAGAGTTATCAGATGCAGAAGCATATCTGAGCATACTTTTGAAAATAAAAAAGCTGGATATGCAAGAAGAGCCCTGCAATATGAAAGTTATAGGGGGACACAAAAAACTGAATGGGAATGGAAAACCTTGTGCACACACAATATTAACTTCTCAGTTAGATTGCAGACCTGGCTCAATGGGGACGTGGCATTTCACATAAGTGGAGGTCCATCTATACTAAACCAATGCTATGCTGACCTGAAAAAAAGAGGATCTGTAATGACAGTTGCTGTGCAAGTGCAGTGGTAGTCACTGATCACCTCTTGAACAACAGGTAAGAGCCTAACAGGGAGGAAAACTGTAGAGATCTTCTTTAATTCTTCGAACTACCGGTGTCTGTGAAATCATTCAGTGAGGATGTGCATTCTGAAAATGCTCAAACACATCCACATTCTAGATCTATAGACTGAATACATGGACTTGGTAACGGAAATCCTCAAGTGCACCTTTAACACACGAGTTAATTAACAATTGGTAATATATGAGGGCTTGACTAAATATACGTAAAAGGAGTTGTAATTTGGCTGTTGAACTTAAATGGCTGGACAGCTCACCCCAATACACGTCTGCCTGACCTACAGCAAAACAGAATTATGTTACTCTCTATCCAAACTGAGCAGCAAAACTGATCTTGAGCTGCCTGTGGTTACAAAGTGGACCAGGTTCTCTGGTTTACAAGACAGGTAGACTCAGGAACAACCAACATTCCTACTGGCCAATCAGAAAATGACAAATCCAGGAATAGTCAGGAGTGGATCAGGGTCCCTGAGGCTCCAGTAGTGGTGAACAGGAGAGGCAGACCTCAGATCTCATACACTTTTTACACACTTACTACTGTTTTTGAAGTACAGCAAAGGTAAAACACTTTACACACACAAATCTAAATTAGGGTTCAGAAAAAAGTTCTATGAGGCTATCCTGGATTATATTAGCAGATGCAGAGGTCAAATCCAGGCTGCACAAGCATTTCTGAGTTTGACATTTATCAATCCAGTTTGAGTGCATCGGCAGCACAGGCTTTTGTCAATGAAGTACACGTTCATCCTTTCCCATTGGCAAAAGAAATTCTTTCATTGCTCAGGATTCATGCAGTGACAATTTAGCAAAGGATGAGGGGACTTACTGGGTAAGAAATTCCAAGATCCCTAGGCAGAATGGGAGTTGCACAGCTAGGTATGCCAGTATGCCACTCAATGCTGGTCTTGATCCAAAAGCACATTGTATTCTACCCAGTTCAGTGCTTCATCACCTACTTTTATTTCAGCTCGGGATCAGGCAAGGAAGCTTGACATCACTATAAAGTGCTTAAAAGTCTCCAACCACTGCAGTGTGCTGTTCTGCATGGCTGACAGGCCGTTTGCTGGGCACAAACACTTAGAAGAAAAGGAACAAGAGGAGGAAGCAATACACGGACTTTGCTTAGGTGACTATATACTTTTTGGTTTAAACTCACCAAGCAAATAGTGAGCGAAAAGTTAGTAACAGCTGTTGGTAACAAGAGGACATCAGCTGGTGCTCCTGGATGTTCACTCTTGGTTCATCTTCCACACCTTGATTTTGTATAACTGCCTTTAATACAGAACAAATAATTAATTAAACACTATTCCAAGGAAAGATAATGGCACAACAATCCATTTGCATAAATCCCATGCTTAAAAAAAAATGAAGAAAACAAAGCAGCTCTCTTTCCCACAAACAAGACTAAAAATACCTTTAGAGGTGACAAAACTTGAGTTTTTTGAGTCAAATTGCTGCTCACTGACCTGGAAGTAGTTGTGCATGTTCTCCATGTGATTACACAGTGGCTTTAGTAGCTTGACTACACATGTAGCAACTTCCTTGGGGGATCTCTGACACAAGTGGGAAAAGCCAATATCCTTGTAGCCTCTTTCCTGCAGCAAACCCCAAAAAATTAAAGTCACTTCATCAGCCTTACTTGAGGATAACTTCACATCAAGCACTATATCTTCGGCTGCTTCTGAGCAGTGCAATTCCTGATGTCATACACTCTGTCGGGAGGGGTCACAGAGTAAGAAAGCTGGCTTCTGCTGAACAACCAGCACCAACTCAGACAAGTGGACAACATTTGATGAAAAGAAAAAAACTGATGTGTCCCATAGCTCTTTTATAGAATCATAGAATCATTTAGGTTGGAAAAAACCTTTAAGATCACAGAGTCCCAACATTTTACCCAAACACTAAGAGAAGGCAGTCTCTGCACTTGGGAATTAAGGTAGGTAGAAAGACAAGGAGAAAGAACACTGAATACGATGGAGTCCATCAGGTTGCAGTGAATTCCTCATAGTTTAATGCAGAGAGCCACACGTTTACTTTCTTGCTGAAGGCATCAGCCAGGAATGCAAGGAGTCACTGCACTCAGGGTGTTCTTCTAAAGACCGCAGAAAAAGCAGCAGCTTCTGCTGGATGCGGCGGCTATCTGGCCTGCCCGACCTGAGCTGCAGAGCCAGTCTCCCCAGGGAGGGCTAAGAAAAGTGTCACTTCAGTTTTGAAGCTGCAAGGCTTTCTCCCAGTTATTTACTCTTTCTCAAGCCATGCAGAGAACCAGACGCTGCAAACGCTTCAGCGAGGGAAGTGGAACAGAAGTCTCTTCTGAAAAAGCAAGTGCTGCTCTGACACACAGTTGGGTGTCAGACTTCCATTTAACTGTTAGGTGAAAATAAATCTGGAAAACATCTCTCTCAGGAGAGGCCTGGAGGCTGCTGCTGTGCTCTGTCTCAGCCCAGGTCTAGACACATTGATGGCTGCTGTACATGCCTTTGGAAAGGGCAGTCTCCTAGTGGAGCCTGGGGTCAGCACATGTTCCAGCTTCCAGC